TTCATTTTGTGTAGACATACCGTACTATCAGATGGATTTTCAATATCAGCGTCGTAAGTTTCTACGCAATCGTTTAGTGTTATGTAGTGATTTTCCGTAATTTTATTGTCAATCAACTTAATATGATTGCCAAGTTCTTCTATTGGTGTAAGTAGATCATCAACGTCTCACAGTGGGACAAATCAAACTTTTAGGCGGTCAAAAATAGTAAATTTCAGTGTCGTAATCAGCGACTATAAACTACTATAGTTGTTGCCACTTATCTCTCGATACCAAATATACCGCAATATTCGCTAATCATTAACTAATGAGCTGAGTGGAATTCTTATGGGGACTTTGAAAAATGCATTAAAGGGAAAATTGAAGGATTTTGTAGTACAGTTAATAAAAAATGGAAAGAATCTAATAGGTGTATGTCAAAATTTTTAATTAAAAATTAAAATTGGCTACAATTAGATTTTAACATTCCATTTATAGCAAAAAATGAAATAGACTACCAACCATCAACAAGTCGAGGTAGGCCACGTAAATATTTTTTGGATTTAAGTAACCGTTCAAAACGTAGGCAAACTGAATATTTAAAGAAGACTACAACAAGTGAGGTATTGATTTGTGCTACGAAAAATACTTTGTACTCTGAAGGGAAATGAGCAGCTGCTGATATGTTAAGCCAAATAACTGAATACTCTCCTCGTAGAGCATTCAAATTAAAAATATGTATAAATATAGTTCTAAAACTGTTATGCCAAATACCGAAGATGAAGCTCTAGCTTTTATAGTTGACACACGCATGACGAAAAACGCTTATCATATAACTAGACTCGGGGCCAAACAACGTGAAGCTAATATTTATACTTCATATCATCGTATTCGTTTGGCAAAAGAAAGATGTTACCCCGAAGGTATAGAAATTCGCGAGGAAAAAGCTTCTGTTCCACTCCAATGTTTGTTAGATCATACACTAACTAGATTATTTAAAATTTTTGAATTTGATAGTAATATGAATTTTGATGAAGTGTATACAGACCTTAATTTGTTACGTAAGTGAGGTTGTGATGGAAATTCTGGTCATAGTGAGTACCATCAAACATTCAACGATCAAAATATAACAGATACAAGTGTTTTTTTTTATTTTCTTTGGTCCCATTGCAACTTACGGGAATTACAAAAATTTCAAAAACAATACAATTTTATGGAAAAATCCAACACCTTCGTCTACGCGTTATTGCAGAACAATAAAATTAATGTATAATAAAGAGACTGTAGAAACCATAAAAAATGAGGCGCAAAAAGCGGAGAAAGAAATTGCAGAACTAAAGCCATTAAAATTAAATATAAATAATAATGTAGTGTCTATTCGTTATACAATGGTTATGACGATGATTGGTGGCAAAGTAATAAACATTTTAACAGGATCTTCAAGCCAAGTTTGTTTTATTTGTAAATGCAACCCTACAAATATGAACAATTTAGACCAAATGCAAAAATTTCAAATCAATGAAGATAATCTTAAGTACGGTTTATCCACATTGCATGCCTGGATCAAATTTTTAGAATACATTTTGCATATTGCATATAAATTAGAATCAGCCCCAACAACAAAAAGAAAACTGTTGAACAAAAAATTTTAATTTCAGAAAAAAAGAAAGATATACAATCTCGTCTTTGGGAAGAATTGGGCTTAAAAGTTGATAGAGTGGTTCAGGGTATGGGTACATCAAATACAGGGAATGTTGCTCGAAGATTTTTTAAGAACCCAGAAAAAGTGTCAGAGATTACAGGAGTTGATATTTGCTTAATCCATAGATTTTCAATAATATTATCAGTAATTTCTAGTGGTCATGAAATTAATTATGAAAAATTTGATGAATATTCCAAAGAAACAGCTAAACTTTATGTAAAGTTATATAATTGGTACCGTATGCCTCCAAGCATCCATATAATTTTGATACATGGCTCTTTAGCAATAAAATATGCCCTTGTTTCCATTGGAGAGTTATCTGAAGAAGCGTAAGAGTCACGGAACAAAGACTATATACGATTCCGAGAACACCATTCAAGAAAATCGTCACGTATTAACACAAACACTGATTTATTTAACTTTCTTTTGATAACATCTGACCCGATAATAACAGGATTAAGACCTCCGAGGAAAGTGTCATCAACTAAATTGCCTCCAGACGCAATACATTTATTGAATATTGAAAGCTCCGAAGAAAACGAGTCGAATAAAGAAGAAGCTGAATATAGTAGTGATTAGACTTAATATTTTAAAGTTTGTTAGTTTATTATGCTATTAAATTGTTTTTTTTAAGATTTATTTTGTATTTTTAAATTAATTCTAATTATATTAAATAGTAAATAACTAAAAACAAAACAAAATATAATTTTATATTTTTGACCGCCTAAAAGTTTAATTTGTCCTACTGTGCGACTGTAACGTTGTTATCACGGTGCCTTAAGCCAGACCGCAAAAAGCATTTCTTCACTGTTTCGGGCTGAATATTTTTTCTAGATGAAAACACCTAGTAAATTGCATCTACCACGTTGATAGGTTGACTTGAATTGACATTCAAATCGGAAACAGCTTTACGTAACAATTGCGTGCAATATAACTTCTTAAACTGATGGATTACTCTTTGGTCAAGTGGTTGTCAATGCGATGTCATATTAGGTGGAAAAAACACAAGTTCAATTTTTTTCATTTTTAAATATGGATGAAGAGCCACGTTGTCTAAAAAGAGTAAAACTTTTCTTTTACTCGTATTTTACCCATTCTGTTATCAAATTTCATAAACCACTCAGTCATTATTTCAGTCATCATCCAGGATTTTTTGTTCCAATACCAATCGACGGGAAAGTTGTTAATATCCAATTGTTTGAAGGTTCGTGGACGTTTAGCTTTGCCTATGATGAGCGGCTGTTCAAAATCACCTAACATTTTAGAACACAAGAATACAGTTAAACGTTCTTTTGAAATTTTTCCTACAGTACATATCTCATTTTTGAACGCCATGATTTTATCAGGTAGAACTCTATAAAATAATCCCGTTTCATCTGCATTGAAAATATCGCATTCTGCGTAATTTGCTATAATTTCGGATATTTTTGCTTTCCAGTTATCGATGGCCTCTTCATTAACACTTGCTGCTTCACCGCAAACTGATTTAAAAAAAATATTAATTCTTTTCCGAAATTTTTCAAGCCAGCCAATAGAGCCTTTAAAATCAAATCCGTGCATCTCAGCGATTTGCTTACTTTTTTCTTGAAGCATCGGTCCTGAAACAGGAAGATTTTTTTCTCGTAATTTTAAAAACCAGTTTAATACTTCATTGTCGATTCATTAATCGGGCTGGTACCAAATTCCGTCCCGGGCTCCCTATCGTTCCATAACTGAAGACCGAATTCCGTCCCGGAGGCGGAACAACTATGTCTGAATTCCGTCCTCTACCTGTAACTATGATATATTTGGCAGTAATATTTTCCTTCACATTTTCTCCAGGCTTAGGACTGGCAGCTTTGCTGGTATGTTTAAAAATGTAAAATCCGGCAAAACAGCCTTATTTATTTAATACTTACAGTATATGCCATTTATGTATAAATATGACAGTCATATAAGTATTTTAATAAATTTAAGAGTATAAGTATAATATATGTTATGTGTAATTAGTATTTAAATTATTTTTTTTTTTTTTTAATTATTATTTTTTAGATTTGAAATAGGCCGGTAAAAACTTAGACGACACCTGACTTTGGTATACACAATACATAGTATATAAATCGTTTACGTTTTTTATTGCGAATAATTGCGATAATACAAAAAAACGATACGCGTGATGTCAGATGAAGCCTTTTGAAGTTCTATAAAATTGAACTTATATTAATACCGTCCAAGACTAGTCGGGACGGAATTCGGACATAGTTTATCCACCCTCGGGACGGAATTCGGACATAGTTGCTCCGCCTCCGGGACGGAATTCGGTCATTTTCAGCAACCCGGGACGGAATTCGGCGATTGCCAATTATAGAGGTTTCTGTTTTTTGTAGCTTTGTCCATTTCCGTTTATCTCCATTTTCAGCCCAAGTTTTGTAAAGAGCATCTGTATTTGCTATAATATTCGCAATTTGTGTTTTACCAACACTAAATTTGTCTGCTAATGCACGAACGTCCATTGTATTTGTATTTGATGTTCGAAATTCCAGAATGTCTATTTTTTCTTTTAGAGTTAATCTTTTTCTTTTGCTGGCCATAGCGCACTACAATAAACGTATAAATAATACGTATAATAAATTCGCATTATAATAAACGTTGGCATTACAAACAGAACTAAACGCACATAGGACAATGCATTAGTTACAATATTTCGTTGACGCGATAATATTTCAATGAATGAACGGATAAGATTTTCAGATACAATATAATAATGTACACATAAGATAACTTAATAATTCAGGTTTTTATTCGGGTATTCCAAAATAATTCTTAATTTAAGATAAAAATTATTAATATCAATGTCACAAAAGTGTCCGTTATTTAGAGTGTCTTGTATTTAAAGTTTTTCCTATACATAAATAGTGAAAATGTCCCCGTCACAGAAAAAAACGTCCGCTATTTGGAGGTGACCGCTATTTAGAGGTGTCCGCTAAGGGAGGTTTCACTGTATATTTATGAAAAAAAAAAACGGGACAAATATATTCTCTAAAAAAAGACAACATTTTTTTTAATTTCTATATTATATGCAATAAAAATAATTTTTAATTAGTTTGATATTTTAATTAAACATTGATTTGCATTTTTTTTTGCTGTGAGATTGAAAAAATTACTTAAAATATTCTTTATTTTTATTGAGTTGATGTCGATTGTTCATAATTTTCTTCATTTCATCCTTTGGCATTATGTTTTTTTGATAAACTGATTGCATTAATAATTTTGGTTGTGTTAAAAAAAAAAAAAATAAATAAAAATCATTACAGGAATATTTTTTAAAACTATTTTTCAGATGTATTATTGCTTTGACAGTTGGTATGAGAAAACGATTTTTTTCGGCCGTCCATAAAGTATGTATGATTGAAAAATTTTTTCTATTACTGCGTTAGTTAATCTGAAAAGGTACAGTGAATGTATATTTTCTTTTAAGATAACAATAAAAGTAATAACACTGACGACTCATAACAATTTAAATAAAAAGAATTGATACACAGTGGCTATAATATTAATAACACAAGATCGTTGCAATGTACACACGTTATTGCACGACTATGTTCGATTTTCGATTAATATACCTAATATACCTATTATACCGAATATGATTGATTATAAATAGTACTGTACATTGGTAAACTATTCGTATTTAATATCGATTTCTTTAGAAGTTTCGCACATGAGTTCGTAGTACATATATATATATATACTATATGACATGTCTTATTTTTTTTTCTTTTACTCTCGGTTTACAATTTTTATGGAAGTAAAGGGATTAAAACGTGACCCTATTCTAAAAAACGGGACAAAAAGCATCCCGTTCAAAGTTTGTATAATGATAAAAAAAAAGGACAAACCCGTTTTAAACGGGACGTATAGTCATTCTAATTTAACTGTATGTTAAATATATATTTACATATATTTTATTTACATTATTTATGTATATTATTTAAAAACTATAAAGAATTCTCAGTTATAGAATAAATCATATAATTATAGCAAATATTTATTAAACAATATTTGAAGCATTCATTTATCTTTGTTAATATAACTGTTTTTTTATTTATTTGTTTTTTTTGTAACGCAAGACTTCTTCCATTGGTATCTGTCACTTATTCATTGAATTGACAGTGAAACAAAAGAAAAAAATAAGAATAAAATACATTTGGCGTCGAATGTAATGAAGTAATTTTCAATAATAATAATAATACTTTTTCGGTCCAATATATTTCAAAAACATTTTAGATTTTATAAAGAAGACCATGAAAATATAAATAATACTTTTGCTTTTTTACAACGATTACATTTGATATGTTAATAATGCATAAATAATTTAAAATGAACACAGATTCATTGACGCTATCAAGATTATCATATGATTCATTGCATTATTATTTGAATAATTAGAATAAATCAATATGTGTAGAATAAAAAAAAAATGAATGTAAAAAAATATACGTATTAAAAATATAACAAGTAACATCAACAATGAATGGCTTTATACAGAAATGTGAAGATAAAATCGATGAAAACAATATAATATACTAGTATATTATGTAATTTATCGACGACATAGTTAGTACATGTACAAAATTATGTTTTTTTTATCATAACTTATAACAATGAATGGATTTTTATAGAATTTAAAATCCACAAAGACCAATATCGTTGTTAATTCCTGTTAATACACAATTCAAATCAATATTTCATTTTTTAATTCGTATTATACACATGGTATTGAACAGAGCTTGATAAAATAAAAAAATGTCAAATATTATTGTATTTATTACATGTTACTATTACATTTATTTACATGTTGATTTTTTAAATTTACTAACCTTGATGTTCATACATATATATATATTATGAACAAGACTCAGCTGTTGTTTAAAAATAAATATATGTATTGTTATCTATTTTCGTAAATATATTATATTATATTCTTCTAAAATAATATTATAGGAAAATAGTAACAGCATTATGCAACATACCATATGTGAATAATTTGTTCATTCAGAATAAACCAGATAAGGAATAATGCAATATCAAACTCAATTATAAGCAACATGAATAGAATTTTAGCAATGAAATACGTTTAGAATGAATAATATTATAGAGTACAGCCGAAATGAACTCGTTCAAATATTGATTGTAATTATTCAAGTCGGTTTTCATGTAGCAATAATGTTCGGGTGCTTTAATACGAGTATACCAAAATTAATATAATCAGAGTTTTAAACTACTTTTATATTTTTAAAATCTAATATAAATTTTGATTTAAAACAAGATTGACATTAAAAGAAAAATCCAATCTACGACTTACATTTTTTTTTCACAGAAAAACTTTAATTATGTCTTTGAGGAACAGAGAGGTTATAAAATCCTATTTAAATAATATTGTCATATCAAAAATAGTTTGAAATTAAATTTAAAATATAAAAGAAACAAAAAGATAATCGTGAGTCGATTTTAAGTAATAATATTCATTACACTGCACTTCAATTGAAAAACGTATTTCTATGGATGAATAAAAGTGAAAAAAAGTGAAGAAAGTTATATATATATATATATATATATATGTAATCAAAATAAATGTAATAATTAATTATCTATTTATTATATTAAGTATGATGATTAGATTTTTTGTTTCCAATTTATAGACACTCAAAACATATTTACATTTTATAATGATTTTATGACTACATAATATTATTCCGAAATGATGCGACTATTTTACGAAAGACATATGAATGAAAAATGATTGGTATGCGATTGAAAAATATAAAATGTAGTCTAGTTAAGTATAGAAATAATAAACTAAATTAATATTACATTTTTTTGATCATATTATGTATTCATAATCATTTTATATTAGCTCTTGAACTAAAACTTTAAAGCGTTATCAAGAAAATTCAATTAGATAAAGTACAATTAATAAAAACAATGTCCGTGCGCATATGTGACATAAAAGAATTTCCGCGTCGTTAGTGGCAGCGTATTGTCTTTCCGTAATATACTTTTTATACGAGTATACGAATACATATATTTTATAGTTTTTTAGATTTTTATTTTCATGTTTCGAGTCACGGTATCATCGAGGTAGTAAACCATTTTTCGATTTCATATCTGTTTTTAAGTTTAGAAAACTAGCCAGATTCTTAGAAGAAGAAAACAGACGTGATGCATATATTTTATTTTGATCCTGTTATTTGTATGTGTTACGTGCCACCGGCTCGATTTCAAGTGTTGCAAGTCGAAGATGTATTTAATTTAAATAAACATGAGACTTTCAATACATTAATACATTTATTTTAATACTCAAAGTGTTTAACAAAATTCTAATACAAAGTGACGTGAAGTAGCTTGTTGTTCCGTGACTAGAACTCATCTGAATTGTGGTCATTTTGATCCCTCTTTTATATGGATTGATTGACGTCATTGGTCTTGTTGTTTCGGCATAACTCCTTATTTAGCAATAGGCCACGTTCGTTCGACCTACTTTATCATTTTATAGATTACATCTTTTAATATATATTACTGGTCTTATTAAATATAGGTGTTTCTAGGAATATATATTAATCTTTTAAAATATATATTGTTATTATTGGTTTATGGCCAACCTATTAAATGTAGGTGTTTCTAAGAATATATATTAATCTTATAATATTTTAAATTAATGATTATAAATAGTCTATGTAGGTGTGTAACACCTGTGATATTGTGTTACGCACAATTCTATTTATACATGTTTTTGTGGTAGCCCATAACATATGACTTGTAAACAATAGAAAACTAAAGATATACACGTGTCATGAGGAACATATTAAAATACCTGTACATCAGGAAGTACGAACTGGAAGCAAAAATATTATTACTACTGTTAAAATTAGTTAATCTCGAACTTTCTTAACTAAACATCAAATCAATATATCAAACTTTTTTTTTTTTACTTTCTAGGATTTCTTTTTTTTTTTTTGTTTTTATTTATATAATTTACAATCTGTTACAGAACAGAACAATGAGTAAAAGTGATGAAAGAATAATGGCTTGAGTGAAACACAGATTAAAGAAACCTAACAGTAAAGGCACTTTTACAGTTACTTATGTACATAAATATATAGGTTTAGTATTATATTACAATACAATTATATTACAATTAAAAGTTTTTAGATTAGTAGGTCCCGACACCACCGCCTTTTTAATCTTTTCCTGGGGTTACTAGGTATATTTTCTGACGCAAGACCTTTGATTAAGGGTGTTCGCGCTGCGAGTGGTTCTTATCCACAAATTTATGTTATCATTTGTCAGTTTTGTTTTCATTATATTCTATTGCGTAACGGTTCATATCGTGCGTTGCTGCAGTGCTGTTGGCAATGGGATCAGCTGTTGTGGGTTGACGGCCCAGCGCGTGCGTATCGCCGTTGCGTAATAGTTTTATATTTTTCGGTTACGTTTTGTTAAATTCATCAAGTCATCGTGCAAGTGTCCAGTGTCTTCAAAATTTCGTTATTGTTTTCGTAATTATTGTTCTTCGACGACACTAGCACTAAAAGGTTATAAAAGGCTGTGCAACGGGTCAGCCGAGCCTCTTCTCTTTCTCATTTTGTTCTGGTGCTGTACTGCTGTTCATAACCGTCGAGGTTGCTCCGTTTGTTCCTGTCTGCAGCCAAATTTGTCAAACCACGTGTCTTTTGTCTTGTATCGTGTTGTGAATCGGTCTACTGGTAACGTTAGCGCAAATTGTTTGCCCACCATTAATTTGTTTTGCAATCCTAGATTGGTCAACCGCTTACCAGAGATCGTTTCGTGTTGTGAATGACCGTGGTTCAATAGTATTGTGTTGTCCGGCTGCAGCAGTTTGTTTGTGTGAATTTCATCGTGTTGAGGTTAGCGGCGTTCTTGGGTGTGTGCGGGATCATACCTGTACGTTTTTATTGCATTAAATTGATTATTATACGGATCCCGGCACCTCAAGGCGTCATAACCCCAAAAAGGTAGGTGGTGCAACACCATTCGTTTAAGTTAAGGCCGACGTGCCAGGATTACATATTATTTGCATATTATACATTTTTTCATTGATTTATACACTATACACATATATATTTGTTCCTATTTTATTACATACTTAATATATTATTTACACACATTGATATCACATATATATAATATATATTATATATATATATTTTTTTGTACACTATTTATTGCATTATTTGTTGACTATTTGTACCCAATACATTACCCTTAATTATTATTTTATTTATATTTATACTATTATTGTTGTGCCAATCAGGCAAAAATTTGTTACTTGTTTCAATTTATTTATTATACAAAATGCTGTGATATTTATATTTTATATT